TTTTTTTGTTTTTTTTTTTTTTTTTTTTTTTTTTGGATTGGATGAGTCTCTTCAATGCAGTACACTGAGTTTTGTTTTTTGACCCAGTCTGCTAATTTGTGTCTTTTAGTTGGGGAGTTAAAGCCATTTATATTGAGAGTTGTTACTGGATGGTGACTTATTCTTACAATTTTTTTTTCTTTTGGTTGACGCCTTTGTTTTTCCCTTTTTGCTTTACTACTCACGTTGGTTGTATTCATTGTGTCCAAAGTTTTGGTTTTGTTGTCTCTGTCCAGAATATTCATGAGTATTTTTTTGAGTGATGTTTTGGTGTTCATGCACCTCTTAAGCTGCTCTTTGTCATGGAATTTATTTCTCCATCACCCTTTAAAGATAATAATACTAGTCTGGGTGGGAAAAACAGCTTCCAATGGACTTTTACTACATTTTAGTTATCTACCTATCCATTGATGGGCATTTGGATTGTTTCTACTTTTGGGTAATGTGAATAATGCAGCTATGTATATTCATTTACAAGTTTTTTATTGTCCTTTATTTTGTTTTCTCTTGGGTAGACACCAAGGAGTAAAATTGCTAGTGTGTTAATTTTGCTCAACCATTTGAGGAAGTACCGAACTGGCTTCAAGTAGGCTGTTTTCCAGAGGGACTCCTTTACATTCCTGCCAGCAGCAGATGAGAGTTCCAATTTCTTCATATCCTTGACATTTTTATTATCTTTCGTTTTGGTTATAGCTTTCCCCTGGAGTGAGAAATGGTGTTTTCTGTGGTTTTGATTTGTATTGCATTGTGACTAATGATGTGAACCATATTTCCCAGTCTATACTGGCCACTTAAAAAAAAAATCTCTTTGGAGAAATACATTTTTAGATCATTTACCCCTTTTAATTGGGTTGTTTTGTCACCACTGAGGTGTAAAAAAATCTTTCTGTATTCTGGATAACAGTCCCTTATTGAATGTATGCTTTGCAAATATCCCTCCCCTCCATTCTGTAGTTCGCCTTTCACTATCTTTATGTTGTCCTTTGAAGGACAGACATATTAAATTTGATTAAATCCATTTTCTCTTTGGTGCTTGTGCTTTTGGTATCATAATCAAGAAAACTTTACGTGACTCAACATTATAAATCTTTATAGCTTTAGCTCTTACATTTAGGTCTAAAATCCATTTTGACTTAGTTTTTACATGTGATGTGACACAGGGGTCCAGTTTCACTCCTTTGCAGGTAGATATCCAATTAGTAGAATTCAGCACTATTTGTTAGAGACTTCTTTTTCTTGACATTTTTGTTAAAAGTTAGTTGATTATAAATGTGAACATTTATATCTGGACTCTGAATTCAATTCTGTTTATGTGTGTATGTGTGTGTGTATATGTTTTGGTCCTGGGGTTTGAACTTGGGACCTTGTGCTTGTGAACCAGGCAGCAAAACCACTGAGCTAAGTACCTGGCCCAGTCTTTCAATCTTTTGCAGAGAAGCTAACTGGGATTTTGATTGAGAACTGTGCTGAATTTATAGATCAATTTTGAAAATATTGCCATTTTAGTATTAAGCTTTGTGATCCATGAGTAACTTATTTTTCCTGTTTGTTGGTGTTATGCAGAAAGATTGAAATAAAGGGAAAATTTTATCCTTAACATGCCTCTTTATAATCTGCTGATTTTGATTATTGGAGTAACCTAATTGATTACAGTATTTCACTGTGTGAAACTATTTTATTGTTCATATAGCTAAAGTGGTGACTTTTAGAATTATATATTTTGGGGTAGGATATATGTTAATTTTTGTATTGCTCTGAGTTAATGTTATAGTTTAAGAAAAATACTTTTTAATTGGTGTTTGGAAGCTAATTGTAAAAGGTAAAATATTAGTGGTACTATAAAATTCCAATTCAAATCAAATAGCTACTGTTTTTAAGTCTAATTCATTGTCATATTATTTTGTTCAAGAAAAAAGTAAACATTGGTTTATAGGTTACTTTCTTTTAGAACAAAGCATAATGAACATTTTCTTTAAATTCATCTTAGGTACCAAATCTGATTCCAGTTTTAATGTTCAAATTGGGGAGACCACTGGAACCTGTATTATACAATGATATACTGTATACTTTACCTATGCTTGGTGTTCACAAGGTTAGTATATTAACCAGTTTTCGTGTGTGTGTGTGTGTTTGTGTGTGTGGACTCAAGTAGTATATTGAATTCTGTTTTCTATTATGAAATTTTAAGCTCTAAATTTGGCCATGATCACTACTTCCCCTGTCTGGCCATGTTTTATAGGAGGTAATGTCAGAAGGCACAAGTATTTATTATAATATTTAATATTAATAATAACCAAGTTTTCATATTGATCATTCTGATTAGTTCCTATGCCCCCAGCATCACTAGCTAGCTCCTACCAAATTATCTCCTATCATTTTAGAAGAGGGTAATATTTCAGTAAGCTTCCATTTCATCTGTATCTCTTAATAAGATGTTTAAAAATGTTTTTGGCAACCTTGAGATTGGCTACATTTATATTTATGAAACCAAAGTTTCCTTGACATTTTCCTAGGTGTGTATTGGACAGATTCTTCGAGTAATCCAACTGCTTGGGAGCACCCCTCAACTGAGAGCTGTTACTTTGCGCCTGTTGACATCTTTGTGGGAAAAGCAGGTAAACTTACACATTGTGTGAGTATTAATCATGTTTCTTTTACAGAAGACAGCTGTCATGTATGACAGTACTTTGATTTAGTGGTATGAGTGAATGCATTAATGATTGCATTGAGAAATTTTGATTTATTGTGATCTAAAATTATTATGATCTAAAATTCATTTGTGATTAGCTCTTAAAAATATGAAAATACAGTCTTATTCCCTTATTTGTAAAATTTGTCTTTAGTTTTGTGAGCAAGTGAGAGAAATATGGTTGTGCTTGGATCCTGTCCTTAGGATGAGATTAAGCCAATTCTTGTTTTATGAGATGAGCAACTGTACACTAATGTGTAAGAAAATCCTCAACAATCACAGCAGCATTCTTCTCTGCTGATTTGCATTGGAAATTATAATGCATTTCTGCTAATGTAAGATTTAGAAATAAAAGTGCTGCATAAAGGCAGATAATGATTACTTGACTCAAGTTAGGAAATTCCCTTTTCTGTGACATTGTCTCACTAGGATCGTGTGTATCCTGAGCTGCAGCGATTCATGGCCATGTCTGACGAGCCTTCCCTCAGTGTGGGCAAAGAACTCCAGTGGGAGAAGCTGATTGCAAAAGCCGCATCAATCAGAGACATATGCAAGCAAAGGTGAGATGTGCTTAACTTCTGAGGATGTATATTGTGATGTATTTTTTGCTTAATTTTTTTATTGCATGGAGGAATCACTTATTTTTCAGTTCATAGTATCTGATGGTAAAATTAGGTACTACTGATAAGTAACTTTGAGAAATCTTTTTCTATTTTTTTGGTACTGGGATCGAACTTGGGTCCTTGCGCTTGCAAGGCAGGCACTGGAACCACTGAGCTAAATCCCCAGCCTCATAAATAATTTTGAGAAGCAAATATATCTTTCTTTTCAGGTCTAGTTTTACTTAGGTTCATAGGATAGTTATATTTTTTTGTAAATAATATTATGGTAAACATGTAATACCATGTTTTTTTACTTTTCTGTATATAAATTCTTAAAAACTAAGCACAGTCAGTTATATTTCTCTAAGGTATACATGGTTCTTATTAGTAGCTTTACTAGGCAAGGCTTTATTTGTGATTCACTGTATGACATTATTAAGAATTACAAAAGGGATGGAAATGATGTTGAATTTCCTTCTATTTTATGCTTTTAGGAAGACATGAAGATAGGAGAACTGACCGTGCTGTTCAAGATCATGTCTTAGTAGGGTGGAGAATATAAGACTGAAATAGCACAAGCATGGCGCTGTCTTGCTTTTTCCTGATATGGGTGAAGTGGAGATAGTTACTGAGGAAATAGATTGAATGCATCTGAGTAACTTTAAGTCTCACAGTATCATGTGTTGACCAGGCCTCTGCACTGAGAATTCCAGGAGCATTCCCACTTCTGTCTCTGGCTACAGTGCACCTGGTTCTTCCTGAGGTGGTGCAGTTGCATGGCCCTGCGGCCCACAACATGGATGATAACATTTCACATAACATCTTGGACCAGAATAGATAGGTGTATAACCGTGATCCGGGAGTTTGGATTTTATTGAGAAGTGGCGTGGAGAAAACTTCAGAGTGTGAACTGACATACTTACCTGACATTCTTGAGGCTGAGGTTTAGGACATGTTGGATGTTAGACAGATCATTCTTCTTACAACTTCTCAGTGTTCCTTTTAGTTTCCTCAGATGTTTCAAATTTTCCAGTTTTGGAAAATTATTTTCATTTTTGGACTGTAAAAGAATGGAATCCTATAAGGCAATTCACAGTATATGTAGTGGATTAACTAATGGTCAACTTGGAACACCCAGTTGGATCAAATCAGTGTGGCTCTGGGCATGGAAAATGCACTTGAGAACTATTGGCAGTGGCAACAACTGGAGGGGAAAACTGGAGCGGGGAAGATCATTTGCTGCTGTTTTCCTTGGAGAAGCTTGCTGCAGCTGGTTTTCCTGATGTGAACTTGGTTGTTCTCATCTGGGTCCTCACTGTTGCTGGGCATGGCCACTGTTCTTGTCAGGGGCTCTCTGCTCTTTGCCTTGAGCATCACTTCCTGGCTCCAGTGCAGATCCCTCAGCCTAATGGCATAAATCCTTCACCCTGCCACCACAGGCTTTCTAGTTTCCACCACTTTGGGCCTTCCCAGTACAGATGCTTGATATGGACTTGTATGAAATATTCCCGTAGGCTCTAGGCCTTTACCTGAACTTGTGTGGGATCCAGGCCCTCAGCTGGATTCTGCAGGTCTCTAGTGCGTGAACAGATCTCTTGTACTCCTCTGAATTTGACTTTTTGGGTAAATATTATAAAATAATCCTATAAATTATGTGTCCTATATTAAATCTATTCCCTTTCAAACTCTGACTACAACAGTTTAAATGGAAATAATTTCCTAAAACTGGAAAAATTTCAACACATTGGAGGTAGATCTGATAATGGTTAGAGCGCTTTGCTCTAATTTTGTTTTTAAATTGTCATTTATTGCAGGCCCTATCAGCATGGTGCAGATATGCTGGCAGCTATTTCTCAGGTGCTGAATGAATGTACCAAGCCTGATCAAGCTACACCGGCAGCCTTGGTGTTACAAGGTCTTCATGCACTCTGCCAAGCAGAGGTTGGTGCTTTTTAATTGTTTTGGATAGCTTTGGAGAAAATATTTTTTGATACCTAAGGATGTAAGATTAACTTGAGGTAACTAGAGGTCTGAATATTAATTCTCAGAGAATTTTGTTTGGAAGAATAAGGCAGGATCTTACTTGACAAATAGTTTTTAGAGGAGGGGTCTTAAACCACCTTTTCTTCCCCCTCCCAGTACTGGGGATCAAACTCAGGACCTTATGCTTGTAAGGCAGGCTTGGTGCCACTGAGCTTAATCCCTAGTCCCCACTCTTCTCATGTAGACGTTCATTAGAGACTCAAGAAAACTTCATTTTCAGAGTTCCTTGTTTTTTATTTTTGCTAAGATGGTAAGGAACTTTATATTCATGGAACATGGGTATATTTATTTATTAAATTTGTGATTAGAACATTGTAGAATCAAGTAAGATGAGGAAATGGCCATGGGCCATTTGCATTTTCATAGCCAGCAAAAATTATTATTGGCTTGAAGATTAGCAAAGGAATCTTTCTTCCCTAGTGATTAGATTTGGCAGAATGGGTGAATGTTAGAACCAAATTTCTGAATAATTTTCTAAATTTTAGACTGTTCCCAGAACTACAGATAGAATCTACTATTTTGAAGAAATATGGTAATCACATCAAAGATCATTCATTAACAAAACCAACGTTTTTAATACTGAACATAAATACTATAGTTTTGTTTTGTTTTTGTAGTGGGGATTGAACTTGGGTCCTTGCACTTGCAAGGCTGGCCACTGAACCGCTGAGCTAAATGCCTGGCCCCTAAATACTGTAGTTTTTAAGTGATACTAAATGGAATTTTTTCTTCAGGTTATGTTAGTTATGGCTGATAAAGAATGATAAAGGCCGGGCGTGGTGGCGCACGCATCTAACTTCAGTCTTTGGGCTTACAAGGCAGGTGGTGAAACCACCGAGCGAAATCCCCGGCTCATGTACATTTCTTAACAACTCTGCAGAACAGAAAATAACACCATTTTATAATCAAGAGAGTGAACCTCAGAGAGAAGTTCTGTATTTCCTTCAGATCTTGGTATGAGAATGCACATGTTCTTTTTGTGTGAACTCTTAAGTCAGCAGACCGTGAATAACTTCAAAACATTGCTGTTTAGAAGTTGCTGTGTGCTAAGGATGGTGCTTTCAGGCCCTGTGACCGGTAGTTGGAAAAGTTGTTAGAACTTGGTGGAAGAAGACTAAAATGACAGGAGACTGTGATATATAAACAAGGACTTTAGTTATTTATTTCTTCAGTCAGTCATCTGGGACCGGGAAGTATTACTTTACTAATCATATTACTTTGCTAATAAATAACTAGAAACTTTCTTATTAGGTCAGTTTTTAACAAAAACTTGAGGACAAAGAATCCTATATGTACTTAACACCTCTAAAAATTGACCTTTGTAACCATTTTGGAATATTTCCTTTTTATTGTTTTTTTTCTTGATAGTCATTGACTCCATTCTGAAATTAACCTTCCCCCTAATAAACAGCAATTTTATATTATTTTCCTAATTTCATTGTTTTCTTCAGCCGTCCAGGAAGCCGCTGTAGTCTGTCAATGCTTATCTTCCCCGGCACCAGAAAAGCCCTGAGTTTGACACTAATTTGCATCATTCTGTTTCTGTAAGACATCAGTATTAATTGTGGTCAGTACTGGGGCTAAAAAAAAAGTTGCCTGATGTAGTAGAAGGCATCTTTGGTCTTAGGCACTCCTAGGAGTTGTATGTTGTTAGTTGTATGTCCTATGGCTAAATTTATTTAATCTCACAGAGGACTTGTTTTTTTCAAATGAGGATAAAATGAGATTGATACAGGGGAAGAGATATAACTCCCGAACCTACTAGATATCTCAAACGTGACTTCTTCGTCTCTGAAATTGAAGAGTTAATTCTAGGAACAGTGGAGGTTAAGAGTAGGAAAAATTTATTGAGAGAAAAAACTTCTGTCTTATAGGGACAGAAGGGGGACAGGAAAGTGGACTGCATGACCTCCCCATTTCTCAAAGATATTTTATATAGTTGGGCCTGGTGGCGCACACCTAGTGGTGCACTCAGGAGGCTGAGGCAGGAGGATTGCTGTGAGTTTGAGACCAGCCTGGGCTACATAATGAGTTCCAGGTCAGTCTCAGCTACATAGTGAGACCCTGTCTCAAAAAAAAAAAAAAAAAAAAAAAAAAAAAAAAAAAAAAGTTTTAGACAGCAAAGCCATGTGGTGAGGTAGGTACAAAGTAGAAAATTACAAGGTGCGCATGAGGTGGTACAAAACCTTAACCAACCAGTAAGATTACAAATACAGTCACGCAGGTAATATTGATTAAATGGGGGTCAAATTGGGGAGCAAGTCACATAGCAAGCACACAAGGATTTTCAGTGAGGGTGGGGGTCAGGGATATTTCTTGGGAAGGCTGGGTTAAGATCTTGGCCCTCTACCCATGTGTTGGGTACTTATTTAGAATATCGATCACTTCTATTTATCCCCAGGGGAAACAGAGGGGGGAGTAGTTTCTCTCTTTTTACAGTTTTGGCATTGAGTTAAAGTGTCTTGATTGTCCTCTGTGTTGGCTTCTTGAGGATGGCCCTGTCTAACTGCCTATATCTAATGAATTTACCTATTTGCAATAAGATTACATACAGAAAAGACCTAGCATAATATCTGGCACTATAGATGCCACTATAGAAGAGCTTTCTTCTGATGAATTGGCATCTAAATGGATATAGTCAGTGCCGTAGAGGAGGTTCTAAACAATTTATTTTTTCCCATGAACCTAACATAATATATGATAGCGATTTAATTTCTTTGACCAGTTAGTATTCTTTCCCTTCACTAGCAGGGCTATTGCTACTTCATTGCATACTTACAGGAGACCATTTCTAGTTGTGGAGTACTCATTCCCAAATCCATTCCCCTGATCCAGACCATTAACCACAAAGATAATCTGGAGTGCACTCTTGTTACTATACTACTTTGCTTCTCTTACTTCTTTGTCCTCTGTAGGAATTGAGAAATCAAATCTAGATATTTTATTTATCAAAGTCCATCTCTTGTTTTATACATCAGTACTCCATCCTTTTCTTGGTTAACGGCATTTCTCTTTCCCATTGTATCTTCACATTTACGGTTAAACACATGTGAAGCATTGCTCTTAACACATTTACTATGAAGTCCAACTCCCATATATGTTTTTAAATTAAAATTCCCTTTTAAAACAAACAAAAAAGCTAAAAAAAGGCCAGGTGTGGTGGCGCATACCTGTAATCCCAGCACTCAGGAGGCTGAGGCAGGAGGATAGCTATGAATTCGAGACCGGCCTGGGCTACATAGTTCCAGGTCAGTCTCAACTACACAGTGATACCTTGTCTCAAAAAAACCAACCAAACAAACAAACAATTCTCTTTTGTGGATACCTTGCAAACGAAATGAGAATTCAATATATTGTCTATACAACAGTAACTGTTAACTCTCCTAAATTCTCTCTGTAACAAGATGGGCACCAATTAATAATAATGCAATATCAACAATCACCTAGCTTCATTTTTCTCAGGTAAAAAAGCTGAAAACCAAGATCAGACCAGAATCATAACAAGCTTTTATGATGGGAGGATCTGCCAGGGTGTCTCTGAACAAAGAAGAAAGAGCAATATGGATGAGATAGGGTGCTGGGGTGGGGCTTATAGGAACTGGGATGGGATTGGGTGATGTAGTGGTTAGGGATTGGGGGAGTTTGTGGCATCACTAGTTTCTAGGAGGTAGCAAGTATCAGGTACTCTTCTGGTGGGAAAAGGGGCATGTTGGGAAGAATACTGGCCTGTGGTAGAAGCCATATTTTAGACGAGAAGCAGGGCATTACGAGGAGGAGAAGGCTATTTTACGTAGCAGCCATCTTAAGGCGAGGGAAACCTAACAGTTTTATTTTTTAAAGTGCTGATTTCCTTTCATTTGTTTTTTTGCATCTGTGTTTCTTGGCTAGAGGCTAAACTATTTTACTGATGCTTACTAGTGGTAAATACGTTCTATATACCATATTTTCTTTATAAATATTAGAAATGTCCACAGTTGTGGTATATGTTAAAACTGATTGTATTATGTTAATTTTGGTAAGAAATATGCTCTTTTTAAATGTTTCTTTTTTTTTGTTTTGTTTTATTTTTTGAGACAGGGTCTCACTATGTAGTTGGACTGACCTGGAACTCACTGTGTAGCCCAGGCTGGTCTCGAACTCACAGTGATCCTCCTGCCTCAGCCTCCCTAGTGCTGGGATTACAGGCGTGTGCCACCACGTCCGGCTTACATGTTTCTTAATGAATAGCTTTGTGTGCTATCTTTTAAGGAAAAATAACCTATTTCCCTGTGATGAGCCTCGATGGTGGTAATGTATATTTCTGTTTTGTTCAAGGCTTTCAGAAGCTTTAAGTGTAGGATTTCATTATTTGTGAAGCTGCTGCTGTTATGTTCTATGACGTGTGTTAAAGTAAAATTTACTCAATTCAGCAGATTTTGCTAGGCTGCACTTAGTAGTTTGGGGCTAATCTTTTGTTTTTTGGCCAGCATACTGTCCTCGGAAGTCAACATAGATTCTGTGGGGCTGTTACACTGTCTTCTAGTTGAACTGTGTGTGAAGAAGCATTGTTGTAGCCACCAGCTTCAAAAATGAAAATATTCAGCAGAGTTGTGAATCCATTTGCCAGCAGCAGTTGATAGTTATTTGTCTACGCACTAATCTTTAGATTCTTAACAATCAAATATTGTTAGGAGTACAGAAATATAACCTAAAACAATGAAATACAACAAATCAACAAGCATAAATGAATAAATTGAATAACTCAAGCTTTGAGAAAATACCTCAGTTAGAAAACCATTTAAAATTAGATTTTGCAGAGTTTTTCCAACCTTGCTTTGGCACAACAAGCCACATGTTTCCTCATTAAACTTGGTAATGAACTCTTCAGTTTTCAAGGTTATAATAAAAATTCCTTTGTT